TGAATGAAGCGTCTCTATAAGCAGCTTTGCTGTTCACCTCTTCAGCTGATGTGACATAAGTGGGATTTTCTGTTCTCTCCTGTGCTGTGGCTTTTGGTGTATGGCTCAATAATAAGTGTCCAGTGTGCATTGCCACTGAAAATGTAACATTCATAAATATTTCTATACATTTTTATGCCTTACAAACTTAATCATTTGGTTATCTAGCTTGTGAATATATTTTGACTTTGCAAGAATGATTTGTAATAGTCAAGTCAAGTCTCATCTATTTATATAGTAGCACATTTCGTAGTGCACATTGCTTCAAAACAGCTTTACACAAAGGTTAGCAGGTTTAGATCAGTAATAATGTTTTCTATAGCGCCTTTAAAAAGCAAATTTAACATTTAATGAAAAAAAAAATGTATAGCCTATATATATATATATATATATATATATATATTAGAAGATATAAAAATGCATTCCTAATAATAAACTTAACATTTAAAAATATATATATTTCTAGCAGATATAAAAATGCATTCCTAAAAACTATCCTAAACCATTAAAAATCCTTTTAAAAAGTTGAAATATTGGCCTCCTTTTTACCATGGAGATCTGTGGTGGATTGATGGTAATTGGAAACATGATGTTACTTTAGGATTGTTCAATAACAGTTGATGCATTATGTTTTTATGAAGCTGTTTTGAAAAGTAATAAACTATAGAAATAAACTTGACATGGGTTTGTATATTTAGTGTCAGTTAAATGGATGTGTGTGTGGCCAACAAAAGGCTGTTTGTGCAGCACTGAAGCGTGAGAGAGTAGATATGATTTGTATGCTTGTAGAGAAGGGTTTTCGTCTCTCAATAGGCTGCATTCCAGTGCTGAGTTCACCATGACTGGCTGTTTTCCACTTGATTTTTTTTCCCTTCCTCCACTCACCTCTTCCCACACTTGTTGGCCTTGGGTTGGGTGATATATAATACAAAGTCATGCTGCTTTCAGTCTCTTGTGTTTTTAGATGTGGTAAGATCTGCCTATTACTCAGTACACCATGGAGAATTGCATTACCAGTGTCAACAGTGCCAGTGCCTGGTACCAGATACTGCATGAAGCCAACTATACATTGTGACTGGTGTTTCCTGAAGGCATGCTGAATAATGGCTTATTATTATTATTATATTGAAAAAAAAATTAAAATCCAGCTTTGCCATGACAAGAACACGATATTAAAACAGAAAAAGTTATTTTAAATTGTAATAATAATTCACAATATCACTGTTATACTGTATTCTTTATCAAATAAATGCAGCTTTTGTGAGCATAAGAGATTTTTTCCAAAAACATACTGACCCCAACCTTTTGAACATAGTTTATATAATTGTATTTTATTCATCATAAGATTATATTCATTTTTTTTTTTTTAATTAGTTGGTTTTTGATACATTTTATCAATAGACTAGATAATTCTATGTATGAAGTTTCCTCATGTGGTCTCTTACATGTCTAATGGCGATTCTAATTGAACGATGTGAGCAGAGATGCAGTGTGTCACTGGAGCTGATTGTTTGTGTGTGTGTTTCACTCACAGGGGAAGCTGTCTTTGCCAGATGTCTGTCCTCTCTGAAGGATGAGAGGGTTCAGGCCAGTAAGAGCCTCTCCGGCCCCCAGGGTGTCAAGTTCACTGGAAACAAGACACAGTTTCTGGAAGATATTAGAAAGGTGGGATAGACTTAAAATATAGATTATTGATATCCAAATTTTATGTAATCATATTTATATTTAAATGTAAATAAGTTGATGTTTAGCACGGTGTGGATTTTTTGTTGTTCTTGATGTAATTATAGTTATTATAATGTGTTTTTAGTGGAGGGTTGTTTTGATTTGTCTGTTTGTATTTATTGTTGTTTCTTTTTCAGGCTTTGTACGCCTCAAAGATCATTTCGTATGCTCAAGGCTTCATGCTGCTCAGACAGGCTGCCGTAGAGTTTGGCTGGTCTCTAAACTACGGTGCTATTGCCCTGATGTGGAGAGGCGGTTGCATCATCCGCAGGTGAACAGGCTTTGCTCACTATGATTTAAAAAAAAAAACATTCATAATATTATATCCTATATTCAGATTGCTTATTAAGAAAGGCAGTGTCTGCTGAAATACTCAACGATGTAATGATATGAAACTTCATCTTTTCTTCACCCGGTGAATGTTGCAACTCTGTAAATACTAGGAAGTGGGGATAATGTTTCACGTAAAAAATCCCACATGCACAGAAATGAGGAAACTGTTTGATTTTTACAATATCTTAACTGTAGATGAGCTATGAATAACGGTTATGAATCTTACATTGGCAGTGTTTTCTTGGGAAAGATCAAGGAAGCGTTTGACCGGAACTCAGAGCTGCAGAGTTTGCTGCTGGATAACTTCTTCAGTAAGGCTGTGCAGGACTGTCAGGTACAGGAAGTGACCACACATTGCTCCATTTCCTGTAATAGTGCCGCTAAAGGCATAGAAGAGAAATCAGTGACACTAAGAGCAGCCATAAGCCAGACTGCTTACATTAATGAATATATGAAAAGTGTCCCTAAAAACTAATGTGTAAAAACTATGTCCTCTGTGCCCTCCAAATATATACACCATGAACAGTCCAAATGGATCTGACACTTTAACTCCACCTGGACTGACAAATAATTTAATTTATTTATTCATACCTGCTATAATCATACAGTATATTAATTTTAATGAAAGCCAAATACAAACCATTTGTGTGTGTGTGTTTACCAGGGTTTCAATGCAGCATGGAATTGGGAAAGTATAGCAAACATTATTATACTAGATGGCAGATCCTGCAGTTATTTTGAAAATAAAATTTTCTACATGAATGTATTCAGTGACAATATTATTTTAAAACTTATAACAGGAGTTTCAAACATTTCAAATGTATGCAGTCAGTGAAAGTGTAAAAGCAAATCAAACGGATTTAGGATAGTTTTAATAAAATGCTGCTCTTGAACTTGTCGGAGTTTGGTGCTAATTGATTTGTTTGAGCTACAGCTACAATATTCCAACTATTATTTGGCAACATAACAGCATACATAGTCAGAATGTAACATACATGTTAAATATGGTCTTAAAAATCTACAAAGAACTTTGGAAATGTCATTTGAAATGGTAAATGTGTAGAAATCCTGGTTTACCTTGAAAACGAATCTAAAGACTAGCTGGTACTACAACCATGTAGAATGTGTTTTTAGTATATAAACGTGGGCTGTGTTTTGCAGGACTCATGGCGTAGGGTAGTAAGTACAGGTGTGCAGCAGGGGATCCCAATGCCGTGTTTCACCACCGCCCTGTCCTTCTACGACGGTTACAGGCACAACATGCTCCCAGCAAACCTGCTGCAGGTAAACCTCTCTCCAACACAAGCAACCACCTCTCTAACTAGCCACATTTATGGTAATAGCCATTTGAAGCCCTTAGTATTCATATGGTGGGGTTCATAATTGATTTCTTTTTTATTTTGATGCTTAAGCATTTGTTCTCTCTCAGTATTTATCATTGGATATCATTAATATCACCTCCAATATTGTGTCTCTATTCAGGCACAGAGAGACTACTTCGGTGCGCATACGTATGAGCTGCTATCAAACCCTGGGAAGTTCATCCACACTAACTGGACAGGCCACGGAGGGAAAGTGTCCTCATCCTCCTATAACGCCTAAGATGACGAGTCGTGTTAGGTTAAACAGCAAAGAACATCATCTCCTCTTGATGAAGGACCAGAGCAGCTGATCACATTCCTCCTGAAGAGCTGACGTTCAGCCCACAGTAGAGTTCAAATACACATTTCTATTTATATTAAATCAGTAAATGCACTATTTGTAAGCTTTTTTCTTGTAGTTTTAATGTCCACTGTCGCAAACACAACATTGAGTCCGAGTGTGGTTTCTGAGATTCTTCCTGCTGTAGACCTGTCATGCTTCGCCCCCAGAGTTCACAGCGTTAACCCTGGATTATGGGTTACTATTGCACTGCATTAGGCTAAATAAAGATTTCAATCCCTTTTTAATTAGCTTTTGTCTTCTTCACTCACATGCTTTCTACTGCAAACAAGATTTACTCTTGCTATTTTTAACAGTAAATACTAGATTTGTAACTTGTTTATGTATGCACTTTCAATTCGTCACCAGGAGAGGGCAGGAATTTATTTATTTTGCAGTAATGAGCTATTTGTAATGGGCTCAGCTGAGTGATTATGATAACAGCCCACATATAATATACACAACCTACAATGTTTTTACCTGCTAACAGACAGTTGAAATTCATATTTATAAATTCCACAGTATAAAATGGTCTCACATCATATTTTATCTCATATTTTCCTTGTCTACTAAATATGACAAGATACAATATATATGTAAATATCTTGACACTAACCTGAGGAGCAAGTGGCATTTGTGATTTTTAACATTAAAGCCAAAATCCAGGATTTTAGGGCTGCCAAAGTTAATGCACTAACTGGTATCATTGTTAATCACAGTCTAGTGTTATTGCATTTCATGTTTATTGCAGGCAGGTTGTAAAGGTTTCAAGTTATATTTCAAAAAAAGTTTTCATTTAGTTTTTGTTCATAATAATAACAACAACAACACTGACACACTTCAGATTTATATTACATCATATTATACTGGCAGGTTCTTGTGAAATCTAACAGTTATGTAGGACAAATATCAAAAGTACATTTTTACCACAATGCTTTCTGATTTGTAAGATATGTTTATTGTTGAAGCAAAGAAAGATTAATAATGGGATTATAAAGGCTGTAAAAATACGATTTGCTCCTGGTAAAGTCACACTGGCTGCACCTTTATTCTTAATTCATCTCCACCCTGTCTAAAGATCAGAGAGCTGAACAGAGCAGCAGGTGCCTATCAGATATGTGTGACCAATGACGTCACTCCTGTGTGAAGTTTTTCCAATGGTCCAGCTATTTGAGAAAGCTTGTAATAAAGCCCTATTCTACAAAGTACTGGAGAAACGTGCAACATCTTAATGTATTGTTTAAAATGCTACAAGAACGGCAGAACGAATAAATCGCAGGCAAATGATGCTGACTCATCATGGTGAATGAGGTGATTCAGCACATGGAGAGCCAGGACAGGAAGTGAACACCCTCTTTTTTTGACCTGTCTGCTGATTAATTATGCATCAGCAGCAACGGGGAGGAGTCAGATTACGCATTAAGTCCGACACAAACACGAGATGCTGCAGTTTGAACTGACAAATACCAAAGATCAACACTTCCTTTTAGAGCTGATGTATGTATATAATCAAGCATGATTCATCTTTATGCATGATTACGGTTGTGTTAAGGTGACCTCAGGGTGCCTTTTAGAGCATGTGGGGATTGTATTTGTTGATATATATCATAGAGGAATTATGAAATAAATTACTGAACATTTGATAAGGATATTTTTACGATTTACCCTTTAAAATGTAAATAAAATAGTCCAGTAGTTGGTTTACTTAAAACATGCTAACTTGCCCTCTTAATTAACAATAACCTAATTTGGACTAAATTAGGTTATTTCCTAATGGCTTTCCTATCCTACTGTATCAGTATCTTTTTTGAGGGTACCTTTGTAAAACATGACAATGGGAGCTGGATGGGACAATCGTGGAGCGGTCGAGAGAAGCATGTTCATTATGCGGATGCTGCTGAGCCTGTTTCCTCTGGTCCTTGTGGTCTGGAATGGTGAGGCGTTACCTGTACCAAACAAACTATCACAAACCAATGAGGTGAGTCTCTAATTTTAAGCAAGACACTACAGGCAGAACTATTGTTGCATTTGTATCTGTAGATTTCAATTACAATGTATATTTTTAAAGGCCATTCTTTTTCTCAAGCAACCTACACCAAACTTTGAGAGGTTTTATAAATATTGCATTCACCTGATTTATATAAACATTTAGATTTTTTTCTTTTCTGGCTGCTGACATTATTTTCTGATTCATGGAGTGATAAAACAGATATCTGAAATCCTCTCTTTAAAAACATTTAACTTTAATATGTCAACAAAATGAAACAAGAATTCTGATCCTGTTATCCAATGATAATTTAATGGAAATCCGTGCCTATTTAATTAGATAATGCCTCATTTGCGTATTTCATTTCAGAAAACTTGTAATACGAAACAATTATCTTTAAATATATACTGTGATTAATCATCTGGAGAAATAGGGTTGGTAGCTATTATTTTACCCTATTCACCTGTGGTGATTTTGGGGTGTAAATCAAATTCATGTGGTCATATTTGTTAGTATTTCCTAAGATCTATATCATAAGCTAAAAATAACTGTACTGCAGTGTTTTAATACTGTTAATGCTGTAAAACTCAATAGCAGTGGTCTAATACTCAAGCCCTCAGAAATGTCTCTTGTTTTCTAGATACTTACCAAAGACCAAAAGGACTTGTTGAAGATGATGATGACAGATATGGCAGAGCTGAACCTCACTAGTAAAGAACTAGCTGATCTTGACCCTGATTTTCTGAATGGCACTCTGGGAGAGAATTCTGTTGTTGAACAGCCAATCCCTAAAAATAAATCTCCATGCAAGCTCTTCTTCTGGAAGACCTTCTCCTCATGTTAAAACTGGAAAACAGAACAGACACTGATGATACGTCTGTTGAAATCTACAGTCCTACCTTTACAGTTTGCCAATATAACCATACATTGTATTTAAATCAATATGTATCCATTGGCTTGCTGTTCTTGTGTTGTATTTTATGCCTGAAGACATTTACAGTGTGAAACAGCTTGTTTGAATTAACAGCAATCTTCAAATAATACAGTAGTCTTTTGCATGTACACTTTATACTGTTTGTCACCCAAGTCCAAAGAAACGTGTAATAAAAGTTCTACAAATCTCTTCATGTCAATTCCAACTTTAAAACACCTTCAAAATCATGACTAGCATTGTTATGCTACGTCATTATAGCTTAGCTCACGAAAATCAAGTGTAGTTTTGGCACCACCTAATGTAAACTTCTTGTAAGTAGAACATCATCTGACAAGTATGTAGTATTTTTTATACATATAGATCAAAAGCAAGCTGTGATATTAGACAGGACAGGTTAAGTTCAATCGACATCGTTAACACTCGAATATTCAAAAATATCGTTGCCTCAGTTTAAAAATAGAAAGACACTTACAAAAGTAGTAAACAAAGCCCAAAACAGGACTCACCTGTAGGCTGCATGACTATGATCATCCGCCTAGGACAGTAGTCCCGTCAAAAATGGCTTGTTTTTAACTTTATAAATAAATACGTTAACTGAAGATTTTAAGTCGTTTGAGAATTTTTTTTACATTGCAGCTTTAAAAACATGGCTGTCAAACTAATAAGGACACTTTCTTTAGTGTGTTTAAATCATCAATTAAAATTTAGTAAGCAAATGTATTGTTTTTTTTAATTGAGCAGTTATTCATTTTGAGGAGAAACTATCTGCAGTTTTTCTCACAGTGATGTATCCACAAACAGCAAAACTACTTAAAAAAGTATGTTTGCAATGTACTAAAACAGTAGATTAAATTAAAGAAGTAGCTTTACACTTCAAAACTTACATGGAATGTTTACAATTACACAACTTTTCAGGTAAAAAATAAAAACAGATACAATTCCTCTGTGTATGTTTATTATGTATTTTGAAAAAAATGGAAATCCTGCCAGTGATTCAAGTCATTGATAACACAAACCTCATTCACAAAATCCTATGTTCAACCACAACAGGTCACTGCCTAAAGGCCTTTTCAACTAAGTAAACTATATTTACAGTGGGACAGATCATGTGAAAGCAATCAAACATAAGGACTCAGGATCAATGACTGCATTGACGTCTTGCGTACAAGCGCTGGAAATACACAAGCATGGATGTCAAGTCATTTGTGATGGGACTGATCCTTGAACTCATTGGTTTAACTCTGCTTTTAGATTGCCTTGTACTGTCTTTAGTCATGCACTCCAGCCAATTGGGAATTGTCCATTGAAATTTCAATAAGGATTCCAGGGAAATATGGTTACAGTGAAGTGACGTAGTCCCTTTTCAGGTTAAAGGCATACAGCAGCAGTCTCCACAGATGGACTGTGTGAACTTCAGTCTTCAGATCTCCCATTATAGACTTCACTCAGGGTTCTGAGGTAAACCTGGGCCCGCCGAGTCCAACGTTCCTATACATGCGAATTAAATAAGCGTTTGCAATTCGATTAATGTCTTCAAACAAATAAGCCACTATCAAAATAACTAGTCAAATTATTCTTTTTTTTATTTGAGTTCCCTTAGATTCACAAAACATATAAAAAGCATTCAAAACACATAACAAAAGAAACCTCTTGAAGCATTCTTCGCTTTCATCATCAATACATCACCCCAGTTAAGCCACTCAGAGCTCACGCTCACCCTCATTCACCACCCACTGCCAGAGCCCCGCCCACAGACAGCATCACATCACGCTCACACATGAGTTCAGTAACAGCGAGATAGAACACACACCATACACAGCATTCACATCAAATTAAGCAAGAACACAAATACTTAGTAGATCACTTAAACATTCCACTACATATATCTTTTTTTTGGGGGGTTATTTTTTTTTTTTTTAAATGCAGCTCTTTAAATATGATTGCAATATAAGAAAGGGAGGAAGGTAGACAGAACAAGAGGGACGGAAAAATGTAAATGAATGTCCTTCTGATGGTCCTACAGAAAAAAAACACTCGCTGCCTCTGTTCACACTCGCTCACACAGGTTCTTCTCACAGCCATCACGTCGCTTTTCGGCATCGCACACTTGCGTTCAAGTTCTCTCTCTCTCAGTGCGTTCGCTCATTCAGTCTCTCACTCGTGGCGCACCAACAATCCATCACCATTTCACTCTCAGCTCTCAAAAAAGCGGACAGATTTCATCCATGAAAAGGGGGAAAAAAAGACAACACCCACCGTCTAACACAGTATATGCAGAGTGAAGCTGTGCTCTTTGATGGCAAAGCATTTACACATGGGAAGAAGGGAACTGATACTGAGATCTCTCGAACATTGCGGCCAACGAGGGGCTTCTTCCCGGGAAATTGGAAAAGAGGTGATGAACTGTAGAAGAGATTTATGAAGGCTTGACCATAAAAAACGTTGAGGGAAAAAAAAAAAAACTGCAGAGAACAACTCAAATTGCTTTCCACATGGAGCATCTTTAAATGTACTGGATGCTCAGATATGTGGGCTTACTGAAAATAAAATACATTTTATCCATAAGGGACTTTTTTTTTTTATAGTGTTCATTACACTCCTAACAATTCCAACCACTAAATGAATCTAAAAGAGCAATCATCATATGTATACGAAGAACATTCAGAGTTTTACAAAATCAAAGGCAAATATGTAAGGGACATAATATCTGACTAAACTTTCTTCTCTCAAAATACTTACCATACAACCTAGATATTAGGATACTTCATAACTGAATTCAAATCCCTCTACATTCCCCAGCTGGACTTTGTCTCCATGCTAGATCCAAAGCCGGAGTTGAACCCACTGCCCGTGCCCGTATTGGTACCCGCCCCCCACCCGAGACTAGCTGTGTTGCCAGGGTTGTAGTTATTGCTGCTTGGGTTGTAACTCTGGTTCTGATCTCTACTAGCACTGTTCTGCCCACCAGGAGCGGTGCCAGAGGCGGCTGTCTGATTCTGCTGATTGGCCAGCATTCCCATCATGCCCCAGCTACTCTGCAGGGCTGCCTGAGCAGCTGCCATCATGGCTGGATTCAGGCTAAGGGCCCCAAAATTCACATTGCTGTTTGGACTGCGACTACTGCCAAAGCCCTGCCCCCCAAACCCCCCGAATCGCCCACGATCCATCATTTGCCTACTATTATTGTGCTTAGGCTCAGCGTTGGAGATGTGCACACTGGTTCCTTTGATGATCAGGTCCTCACCGCACAGAGACTGGGCAACCTGGAGGGAGGGGGGATCCGTTAAAATGAGCAGAGAACGAAAGCTAACCAAATCACGAGACTGAAACAGATAAGAGACTGACCTGATCATCTGCAAAGGTGACGAAGGCAAAAGCTCGGAAAGGTTTGGGGATGAACACGTCTGTGACTTCGCCATACTGCATAAAAAACTGTCTAAGCTCATCGGTTGTCATGTCCTCTGTGCAGCGGCCCACAAACACTTTCCTGCTTCTCATAGGCTCATCAGGGCCAGCCTGTTCCAGGAAATACTAAATCATTTAATAGAAAACAGGGACTATTCATGCAGTGTTCAGAACGACAAGGGCATCACAATACATTTGAAAGATGAAGTGTGTATGTTCAAATTTAAATCTGAAACAGCTTAATACTTCTAAACACAAATATTTTGAACTATGTGTGGTATTATGTGACTTAAGTGTTGTAGACATACCTTTGAGTTGGGGAGTTTGCAGTCGCACCATCTTCCATCGATCATATGCCGTTGGGACATGGCTTTTACTTGTGTTTCGTATTCTGTAAATCTCACAAAGCCAAATCCTTTGGAATTTCCAGTTTTTGTATCTCTCTTCACCTGAGGGAAAAGGTAAAGCTCAGTGTCACAGCTAACAATACCGAATGCGTGATGCATGACTACATTTGAGTAAGAGTGAACCCAATTCTGTTATTAATTACTCACTCTCATGTCTTTCAAAACCTGTATGACTCTCTTCCTTTCATGGAACTCCAAGGAGTTATTTATCGTCAAATTTTGAGCAGCTTTTACCATACAATGAAAGTGAATGGTAACTATGGCTCTTAACCCTATGGTATTCCTCACTTGTGATCCTCAGCAGTTGAAATGGACTATTTTGACAATATTGTGCACAAGTAGTGTTGCCTATTTTAATTGTGTTTTTGTAAAACAGCCTAAAAATTTGGCAGTCCTCCAACTTCTACTTTCTGCTCCACAGATGAAAACCCATCATAAAGGTTTGGAACGACATGACGGTGAGTACATTTCATTTTTTTGTTTGTTTAGGGTGAACTATCCTTTTAGGTTTGTTCATACTAACCTGCACCATGATCACCTCTCCAAAAGTGCCGAAGTAATCTTTCAGGTCTTGCTCTGTTGTTTTCCACGGCAACCCAAGCACAATCAAATCTGATGTCTTCTGCACACCTCTCTTGATCTTCACAGCCGATGCAGCATCCATTTCATCCATCTTCCTCTTGTTATCTGAAAAGTGCATTCGTTTAATGAAAATCAAATAGATTGAATCAGTATGCACATCAAAATGCTTTAAGACAGGGATATGCAATGAAAGACATAATACATATTTTCTGTGCATCAACAATTCCCAAATTATATGATGTCGATGCAATCAAATAAGCACAATATTAACAAGATCTAATCATACCTTTTGGATAATTAACCACGTACACCAGATTGGCCCAGTCTGATTCGGGTGCATGAAGAACCCCCTCCACTAGTCGGACCCCTCTCATGCACTGAGACACGGGGCTACGGTATCGAAGGCCGCAAGCACCGGGAAACTGCGCGGCAACGGTTGAGAGCAGCACGGTGCCGTCCTCCTCGGATGGGATCTCCATCGGCTCCTCGTTCTCATCCTCCGCAACGCGAATATAACACTCAGTCATGATTACACCGAGAGCTAAGCTAAGAGCTTCCGACCAGATCAATAATTCAGCTATAAGGCAACTAAGTTAACCGAGCTGAAACCGAAACTAGTAAACCGGAAAGACTTAAAAAGTAAACACAACCACAAATTTGTTGGCAACAAGTGTTGAGTCTATTGTTTGCGTGCGACTGTAGTCAATGAATGCGGGGTGCCATTAGCTAAGCTAAGCTATTTGCTAACCGCGCGCACGTTAGAAATGAATGGCGCGCCGCACCCTGTTTCCGCCAACTTCAACGCTTTGCAAATACCTTCTCATCGACTGTACGTGCTTATCTGCAGATTGCGATTAAAACAAGCGATTTAAAGTAATAAACATAAAAAACGAGTGGACCAATGCATCCAGTTGCTGTTCCGACCCCCAAAACTGATAAAATGGCCACCCAAGATGCGTCACTGAAGGAATGACATCATCAGTTTGGGCCGTCTCATCACAGCACATGGAGGGGTTTGTAAATGTAAGATGTTAACTTTTTTTAACGCATAACATAATGTGTGATATACTGTGTCAGACGGTGTGGTTCTGTCTTGTCTGTTTATGATTATGATGGGCCGGTGGGGTTGTAATTTCCATTTAAAACGACGAGAAATAATGTAAAAAATGCAAGAATCCACTGTAATGTTTAAAGCGTCTCATACCTTATCTTACAGGTTCGTTACATCAGACATAGAACAGACAAAAGCACTGTAAAACAATAGATTTAAAGACAAAGGTCTTTAAAATTAACAGTACATTGTGCAACCAAGGTGTTTAGGGACATGTATGTATATGTATGTTGTATTTATAATGTGTTATTATTTTGTCTGTATTGTAAAACTATCACATAGTGGACATGGTTCCTATGTTCCTTTCAATTGAGGGATCTGTGATGGGTTGGTCAGCCTTCTCATGGGTGTCTTTATGAGCTACAATTGTTTTTTATAGTTCTGTAATGGCTAAGAATGACAGGACCATATTTTTGCTATACTGCCAACAATGATATAATCAATATTCAGTTTACAAACATGCAATTTTATAGCAAAATCACAATTAGGCTACTCAATGATCACTGTCCCCTAATCTTGCAAAGTTCTTGATAACAACTGTTAACTCATGAAGTGGCCAAGACATTTTATGTTGAAAATATAAAGCCTCATGTTAGGCATAAAAAGTGAATGAAAGGAAGGAAGAAAGATTTTTATTGCTGTACAGGTGCAGGTTTCCCTCCTTCCATTGCTTCTCTCACTCTTGTGCATGTTGTATAATTTTATGATGAAATGGGTCAGCCTTCCTTGCTCTCACTTACTTGTAACCTAAAAAGCCAAACACAGCTGACTTGTAAGCAGTATAAAAATACTCTGTCCTCATGAACCAACACACGATGAACCATGTCGCTGATTCTCACTAGGGTCTTACTTATTACAGTGTAAGTAAATGTATGCTTATGCTTGAAGTATTTTCTCCTGTAATTTTGCTAAAATTGTTATCGCTTTTACTTCACACAGTCACTTAATTTTGCCCATATGGGGAAATGTTTTGCAACTTCAGAAGAGTGACTGGGTAGGCAGTCCATCTGCAAGCATGACAGGTAATTATTTGTAGTATGTTATAGTTTTTGCACTGAAGTAAAATAATTAAGTGGAAATGACTGATTTTCATTTTCCTAGAGGGTGATGTGGAATGTTTTTCTGAGTACATGGAACTTTGGATCCATAGAATGAGAATTGAGGGATTGAGGCTTTGGCTTTCTGGAATATTAAGGATTCAAGGTGAGATACATGGACATTGAATTACTGAATTTAAAGGGATAGTTCACCCAAAAATGAAATTTATTTCTTCTGTTGAACACAAAAGAAGATATTTGGTAACCGAACAGTTGACGGCACACATTGACTTCCACTAAAAAATACTATGGAAGGCAATGGATGCTGTCAACTCTCTGGTTACCAAATACCTTCTTTTGTGTTCAACAGAAGAAAGAAACTCATACAGGTTTGGAACAACATGAGGGTGAGTAAATTATGACAGAATTTAAATTTTTGGGTGAACTATCCCTTTAACATAAGAGAAGAAATTAAACTGATCATTAATGAACAATTTTTCACCTGTAATTTAAATGTTTCTGGGAAAAAAACATTATGGTATCCACATTACATATTTTACACTTTGATATAATTATTTTGGCATTTATACTTGATGTTGGATAGGACACTCAAATATATATATATAATGAAATAATGAAAATAAATATATAATGAAATGTGAATCTCTCACTTGGGGGATAAATTAAGTTTATCTAATCTAATAGTATAAAATATAAAAAATATATTAAAGTAATAATATTATATAAAAACAAACTTAACTAACAGTTTAGAAATATTATAGACTTTTCATAAATGTACTACTTTTTATACTTAATATAATGATATAAAGTTACTTTAAGAGTTCCATGTCACACAGTAACACAGACAGTGTAAGGTGTGAGTATGACCACCATTTGAAACAGCAATAAAAATACTAGTTTTATAAATCTCTTGCTCTTTCCAGTGGGTCTGGTGTCCATGGAATATCTAAACCATCAGCTGTCTTCATGTGGTTTTGCCCTACACCGAGATCTAGACAAGAACTATATCTTCAGAGTCATGTACAGTGGATGTTTTGTCCAGTTAGAGGTCAGAAAATGTCTCTTTTTGTCACTAAAACATATTGTTGCAGAAAAAAATCTGTCCCTTTTTTATCACTGCATCACAGAATTTTGGTGGTGATTTTTTTTAGCATGGCAGTTATGTGATTGTGCTGAACCTGCTGAAGAGAGTAAGTCGTTTTGGAGGCAGGACACAAAAGTTTATGATGAAGTGTCCAGCAGTGTTAGAGCCTCCTAACAGAGAGTACATCCAGTGTGATTCAGACTTCATTCAGGTAAGAATATGTGATTTCCTCTCTTGCTCTCTCTTTTTTTTTACTTTTTAAAAGCTCTTTTTTGTGTTCAAGGTTACCAGAGAGATCCCTGTGGATAACTGGACTAATGAGGTAATTTATAATAAATGTTGATATGTGATGTCACGAAGAGATGAATGGATCTAATGTGAAATATTTCTGATGTGATTTTTGCACTCAGCTTGACTGGTCTCTGGCCTTGAGAGGGAGTCTGGTGGTGGCTTTGGAGGATTCCAGTCTTATTCAAGTAAATGTTGAAATGCACAAACCAAACATAACAGTTCAAGGGAGGAGGGGCACCATCTTAAGTCCTGTGCAGGTAAGACTGTGCTGTCAGATTGTGGCTGTGAGAATTTGTAATAGCTTAGTAGTGAAGCAATATTTTTAAAATACAATTTATAGTAAATATTTTATATTTTTTCCTTTAAGTAACAATATTTGTGCACCCCCCAACCCCCTTCAAAAGTTTTTTTTTTTTTTAAAAATCTTAGTGTGAGACGAGTGCATATTCTGATATAAACTGATACTGTGTCTAATGTGTCTGTTTTTGACAAATGGTGAAATTTAATCAATTCATTAAAATAAAATTTGATTAGGCTGTTACCTGTAAATTTAAATAAATTCTGTATTATCAATTTTATGTCATAATATGTATAACTAGGCCTAAATACACTACCATGCACAAGTTTTTTTTCTTTTTTTGAAAGAAGTCTTTTAGGCTCACATGTCTGCATTTATTTGATCAAAATACAGTAAAAACTTTGTGAAATATTATCACAGTTTAAAATAACTATTTTCTATTTTAATATTTTTTTAAATTTAACTTATTCCTGTGATGCAAAGCTGAATATTCAGCATCATTACTTCAGTCTTCAGTGTTACATGATTCTTCAGAAATCATTCTAATGTGCTAATTTTCTGCTCAATAAACATTTCTTTTAAAATCAATGTTGAAAGCTGTTGTGCTACTTAATATATTCTATTTTTAATATATTTATTTTTTATTTAAAAGTCTTTACACTCACTTTTGATCAATGCATTGCATCCTTACTGAATAAAAAAAAAAGAATTACAGACCACAAAGTTTTGAACATTTGTGTATATATATCAGGCATTCCAAAAATTACATTATTTTCAATTTGAGGAGTATTTTTTGTCACTTTCGTTTGCTTTTTTTGTTGTTGCCCCCAGCCCTTGTAACTTTCTGACCTTGCTTGAACTAGTTATTTACTAAAGTGTACCGCCTAGTGGTTTGTAAGTGAATGGCATATTTTTGGTACTTAATGCTTATTTTGATCCTTTGTGCTTTAGTTGAGTCAAAAGCAGGGCTGGAAATGAAAGTGGGAGTGAATTTCAAGGGGGACTAAATTCCAAAGTTCAAAATGTCTATTATCCATGTAATAGCAAAAATGCTACGCAAAGTTCATTCATAAATATAGTGTGATTTTCAGCATGTCAACCACTTGTCAAAAATAGCCAAACTGGCTAAAGAATTGACTATAAACCACTTATTTAATCCACGTGTACTTAAAACAATTCAACGGCAGGTTTGTTTGCATTAAAAGTATTCTAATCTTTTAGGTTTTCAAATCTGAAGGACATTTCTTACCTCTCAAACTGGTCAGTGGCCATTATGCCTACAGCATGGAGGCGACCTGCCCAAATGGTTCGTTTCTATGTTTTGTTACTAGCATTTAACTTCTTTATTTTGCAATATTTCTATCACTTGCATATTTGAACAGCCATTCTGCATGTTTCTTTTAGTGAACCAGTTGCCATCTGAGGACACGGTGCTGCATGTCTATAAACGACGCATGGGCTTGACCAAGAGAGGTGGATATCAAAATGAGACCCTGTCAGTTAGCAATGTGATTGTGGAACAGACTGACACATTCACCTGGTCAGAGACGAGTGACTTTGTGCAGCTTGTCATTCCCACATCCCACATTCAACAGAAAAAGGTCAGTAGTGAATAACTTAATGCATACCACACCACCATTAAAGTTTTTTTTTTTGAAAGAAAGGAATACCTCTTTTCAGCAATGTTACATTAAATTGATCAACAAAGTACAGTATATTAAGATATCTCAAATGTCACAAAAGTTTTCTATTTCAAATAAATTGTGTTCTTTTAAACTTTAAATGATTTACATATTAAAGGTTGTATCAGCGATTTCAGGCCCAAAAAAGGACCAAACATAAATGATCACATTCATCTAATCCAGGGTTCCTCAATCTCGGGCCTGGAGGGCCACTGTCCTGCAGAGTTTAGCTCCAACCCTGATCAAACACACCTGAGCAAGCTAATCAAGGTCTTCAGGATCACTAGAAACTCACAGGTAGGTGTGTTTGATCAGGATTGATTTATCCAGGACCGAGATTGAGGAACCCTGATCTAATCTTTCCTAACGATCCGCTAGCTGCCCGCCCCATAAGCAGGACGTCAAAAAAATGCATCTCTGTAGTAGGCACTAGGCAGCCTAGGCTCTGAGATCTGCACACAAAAGCCCCGTTCACACTACACGCGAACAAGCGACGCGATACCATTTATTTCAATGGGGAGCTGGCGATTTCCGGCGACACGCGCGACAGCGACCGTTGGCGACCGGATGGGGCGTGTCTGGCGACGCGACAAAGTTGAGATCTGTTTAACTTTATGCAAATGAGGAGCGACTTTCGGGAGCGACAACCAATAGGAGCGGAGCGCGTATGATCCTCCTCCACATCATTGGATGTCATTCATAAAGGCAACCAGTAGTGGGAACTCCCACTAGCGACCTCATCGGCAGCCACTGGCGACATGCAGCGACAAAGTCGCTTGTAGTGTGAACGGGGCTAAAAACAATTGGTTTCACCAACCACTCAAAACCAAAGTAAATAGTGTTCCAACCAATCACCGATAGGGGGTGGGTGTTGTGAGGTTTTGCGCTCGTGCACGGCTGCACGCGAAGTCGGAGCTGAAGAAGCAGCCAGCGTCTATCAACGAACCCATGTCGGTGATTGGTTGGAACACTATTTATCTTGGTTGGCTGTTTTGCATCTAGCGGATCGTTAGGAAAGATTAGATGAATGTGATAATTTATGTTTGGGCCTTTTTTGGGCCTGAAATCGCTGATACAACCTTTAAAGGGATACTCCACTTTTTTTGGAAATAGGCTCATTTTACAACTCCCCCAGAGTTAAACTGTTGAGTTTTACCGTTTTTGAATCCATTCAGCCGATCTCCGGTTCTGGCGGTACCACTTTTAGCATAGCTTAGCATACATCATTGAAGTGGACAAGACCATTAGCGAGACGAGTGAGATTTGTTGACGGGGGGGGGATAGAGACGAGTGAGATTTGTTGACGGGGGGGGGGGGGGGGGGGGGTAGAGACGAGTGAGATTTGTTGACGGGGGGGGATAGAGACGAGTGAGATTTGTTGACGGGGGGGGGGGGGCGGTCTCGCTCGCGCAAGGTCTCTCGCTCGCTCTACGCGGTTTGGAGCACAATCTCTGTCTCGCATGCACGCTCGCTCTAGATAACGGGAGATTTTTAACGAATTTGCGGTATAACTAGTCGATCACGAGTGGCTCAACAGGTAGATATATAGATAAACTCATCTTCCAGGCATTTGACCGCCCGGGTTGACACTTCAGCGTGAGAAATCGGGAGTGTGGCGTGTGAGCGTGTGAAACCAATCAAATGCGGGTGTCTCACGGCCAATGCGTGAGAGTTGGCAGCTATGCTTAGCATACATCATTGAAGTGGACAAGACCATTAGCATTTCTCATAGGAAAAATATCGAAACACTTTGGTCATTTTTTTATTTAAAACTTGACTCTTCTACTCTCATTCCTGCGTAATAATCAAGAAACTTTACTGCCGTACCATGAGTGCAGCAGGCGTAATGATATGACGCAGCTGGTGACTATTTTCAGGCGCTGCGTCATATCATTACGCCTGCTGCACCCATGGTACGGCAGTAAAGTTTCTTGATTATTACGCAGGAATGAGAGTATAGTTCCTAGCCATATCAGCCTAGAAAATCGCAACTTTACATTTTCCGTCGGTCTTAGTGCACGATGTAACTACAGAAGAGTCAAGTTTTAAATAGGAAAAATATCGAAACACTTTGGTCATTTTTTTATGAGAAATGCTAATGGTCTTGTCCACTTCAATGATGTATGCTAAGCTATGCTAAAAGTGGTACCGTCAGAACCGGAGATCGGCTGAATGGATTCAAAAACGGTAAAACTCAACAGTTTAACTCTGGGGGAGTTGTAAAATGAGCCTATTTCCAAAAAAAAGTGGAGTATCCCTTTAAGCAAAACACCCGTTTTCAACTCTGATAATAATAAGAAATGTTTATTGAGCAGCAAATCAGCATATTATAATGATTTCTGAAGGAAGTAATGATGCTGAAAATTCAGCTTTGCCATCACAAGAATAAATTACATTTTAAAATACATAAAAATCCTTATCCTTTGAAATAAGGATCTCTACATTTGAATTTAATTTATTTGAAAACTATTTTTTATTTATCATTTGTAATTGGGACAGTACTGTCATTTATGATGTATTTTTTAGGAGTGCAGTGTTCAGGAAGGTGAGACACTTCAGCAAAATTTCTACAAGATAGACGCGGTTCTCACCTTTAAAGAGACAAATCACAAAATGCACTGGACCATGGAAAACACTTCACCATGTTCAGGTTAGTGTCGGTTCAAAAAGTTCCTTAGTCACTTCTTTTTATGTTCAGGTTAGTGTCTCTTAGACCGTTTGAATCCTCAATCAGGTATTCAAAACTAAACAAATGATACAAATGTATTTCAGAGGTGTTAAAATCACATTTGATGCATGATGAACCAAAGGAAGCCAATTTCACAACACATTCTCCTGAGGGGATTACAGCTGAGCCAGAAGCTCCTGTTGATTCCAACAAAGAGTTTACTCCTTCCGTGCCGCTAAAGACTACGTCTACAGCATCACAGACGGCAACCAGCATCACATCGGTACCAACCCAATGGATCCAAACAACTGAGGGTCTTAGAACATCATCTCGCCTTTCACCATAAATGGAGATGATGGGGAAAAAAGTGACTGCAGCTATACTTTACGTCCTAAAGAACAACAGAGATCTCTCTAGAAGTTCATCTGTGCATCATTAACTGTGAGGGGCCGTAATGCACAACGGATGGAAATGTAGGTACCAACTCCACGTGTCAGTGATTTTCCATACTACACTATTACAATTGGTAGTCTATTAATCACAGCAGATGTAATCACAATTTGAAATACAGCTACACATTTAAGCACCATTTTCACTCAGACTGGGATTTACAACACAACAGTCAAGTGGACCCATGCATCTTTTCCGTTGACAAGCAAAGTGCCATTGGAATCACATGCGGGGAATGATTACATCTAAGACTGTGTTGGTCATGCCAGTTAAAAACAAGCTACTGTCTTAGAACTCTCTCAGCTGTGCGTTTCCTCTCGGGAGTAAATGTGGAACAGTAATACATTTTGTATCTAGCAAAAAAAAAAAGTGGTTAATTCTCAAGTTGTTCACTAACTATCCCAGTCGCTTTCCTGAAAGACAGAAAGTGCCTGACAGTTTAGAAATTGCCATAATGTAGTATCTTAAGTACAGTTTTTGTAATGTTTTTGGATTATATGATTATTTAGGTGTATTTAGAGATCTATATAGATTGTTTATTTATAACGTGGCTCTCTTGAATACTTCATTCTAATTGGTCCGTCGCAGCATTCATCGGTCTAAAATGTCCTAATACTCACGGACGGCCATATATTGCTGCATATCAGTCTGATTATCTGGGTAACTGAAACCAGTGTCGTGAGAACTCGGGTCCTCCCTCGAAATCGGTTTTCAATCAATAGTTATACTACGTACACAAAAGCCACATTAATTTAAAATATGTACAGTATGTACATATGCTGTGTAATAAAATAAATTGGACAATGTAATTTCTTTCACTTGATAAACTTTTAATAAACAATAATTCAACATAATTACTTAGTTCTTTTAATAAGTATATTTCACTTATTAAAAGAACTAAGTAGTTCTTTTAATAAGTGAAATATTTGTTCATTTAACACTTACGTACTGGCATTATTATACTGGCATCATCTCTCTCGTATCACACCGCATACTCGTTCTCCCTTGTTTCTTACAAACGCAACTGGTGTTATCTTGCATCTCAGTTATTGATTCTAGTAAAAATGACCTCAGATGACTTCTGTATTAATATTACTGTGATAATTGTTGCTAGGCCGAAGTTTAGTACATTGTTATGGACTATTTTATGTGCATTACACCTTACGTAAGGTATGTAATGGAAAATAAAACGAATAACATATAATCTTATGACTGACACATGATCTGGATTAGTACATATTGTGTTTTTTACTAAAACCGATGATGTGTTTGTGGTCTGGATGTTTATGACGTGGACAACCACCAGAGATGTTTTCTTGCTGAAGCCTGGTTCAGCGTTTTCCTTCAAGGGTGTGATCTCTGTTGTAAAACTGTAATTTTACTGTACTATTTTGTCCCTTTAGTTACACTTTGATGCTGGCTAGCAAGCTCTCAGTGGCAGTATGTCGAACAGCCAGAAGAGGTCAGTGTTGTTCAGTGTTTGGCTTTTGCAAAACATTCCAGCTCACCTCAAGGCAATGATCATCACTGTGTGTAAAACTTTGTTAAATTTTGTGGTCAGTGTCAGTTGCTCTAAAATGCACATATATGTATTTTTTCATATGCATGAATAACGCTTTATGGCCGTAATTTATTTTACTCATAAGACATTGATGTACATACTCAGATCCAGTGGAAAAACAACCTCAAATGTGAGGTTGGTTAATTTGCCTTTACTACGCAATTTCCCACGCTTGAATGAATTCAATTAGACTTTTGAAAGGGCAGGCCATTTTAATGTAACCCAGGCAAGATATTCTTCTAAATTCTGAGCATCTGGAGAAAAAAAAAAGACCACTGAGACCCATAAAATTTATTGTGATTACAGTCTTGATATTTGAGCAAACCAAAGAACACCCTTTCTCATCCTAATTGTGTTTGTGTCTGAAAGTATGTGCTCTATATTAAATGACAAAACAAGAGCACATTTGTATGCGTTGGATAATGTGTCCTCTAGAGCTTTGCACTCCGGCAGGGTGTAATTCTCACCCAGGGGGTCAGAGGGGGGCCACGCCGCCAGGGTTTTCTTTTTGGCATCTGTTGCATGAACTTGTGAACAGGAAACACAATAACAGCACAAAGTACACCAACATCTCAAGTCTTTCATGTGGCTGTTTTGAGCCATTATGTTATTAGTGTAGGCTTAAAAAATCCTTTCATGTCCCCCTCCTTTTCTTTTTCTTATGAGTTGCACATCTGTGAGATGTTTGAAACCACACACTGGTTAAATTCTGCATTACTCTCAGAGATGTTTTTAATTGTCATAATTGATAACGATATGAGTTAAACAGTCACACATTACCAAAACTTTGTTCTCGTATTTTAATTTTTTTATTGAAGATTTATTACAGCCCTCCTTTGGTTGAAACGTATATAACAGTTTGTTCATTTAAAAGAAATAATAATAATCAAAATCACATCTGTGAAAAAAACATCAGTGTTAAAACGTATATACACTGTAAAAAAAAGTTGCTGCCTTAAATTGTTAAAATGTTTAAGTCAATAAACTTGTATATCTTGTAGTTGACAACTTATTTTGCAGAGTTAAAGCAACGTAAAAACTTATGTTGAAATAACTTGATCATATATTTTTTCATATTTTACAGTGTACAGTGGGATCCAAAAGTCTCAGTCTGCTAGTGAAAATGTTTTACTTTATTAAAAAAATATTATAAATATAAACTATGTATAAACTATGATGAAACTATGTATAATCTATATTATACTATATATAATCTATATATAATCTTTTTAAATTCGGTTCAAATGACTTGGAACCTGCTATATATCATCCGTTACTGTTAGTATTTCTTGCTCAGGTTTGTAATAGCAGGCTCACAATTGCGGCTCAATTTGTTGAACTGATTCAGCAATGGGCTTTCCACAAGAGGACAAAAGCTGGCAGAGGAAAGAGGCTCTTGGAAGGGAAGGGAAGGCTTTGGTGGTTACGCTCTGACTCTTTATCTTACTTGCTGGGCAATTACAGAATCATGGGTCAACCATGCATGTAACCACAGCTTCGTTGCACAGTAGCGGATGTACTCATGGCATTAGCTGGTAGGAGCGTGAAGGTAAACATAAACAGATGCAGCTGGTTGCTAGGGACACTCGCCAACTTGCGTGCCCTAATGATTCCCATGTGTGTGGGTGCATATCTGCAGCAGTGGGCAGGATGCAGGCATACGCTGTGTTTCAGCAGTGCCAGAGTTTCTCAATGGGAGATTTGTGAATGAGTTTAGCAGCAGTGGTTTTTGGGAGGGTGTTTCCCCTTGGCATCGTGCCCCTCCTAGTAAGTTAAAGCTGATGAAGCAGTTTTCTTCCTGTCTTCAATTTACCATTGATTATAATGTTTGGAAATGAATGGAAAAGCCTTTTAATATTATTAGTGTGCCTCATGAGTGGTATATTTGCTTTCACATATTTTCCTTTTATCATTGTATAATGAATATTACTGTTTGCAATTGTGCATTAGGCCTAATCTAAACTTCCCATTTGTGTATCGTACAAAGCAATTTCAAAAATAGTCTTCATAATACTTCATGACATGTTATTTTATCACATCGTTGTGGGGTCCTAAAAATCTGAGACCACATTGAACATTTGAGATTACAAATCAAATTTGAAAAAAAAATTATTACCGAAAAAGTATTATTACCAATTAAAACAGATTTGATTAAAAACAAAGAAAATGTATGATGTCAATACTTAAAAATATACAATGTTAAAAATAGAAAAATGCTCAACACAAGCATTTTCACTAGTGGTCTTAGACTTTTGAACCCCCACTTTTTGAATTGCCTTTTAATTTTTGGAATGTTTTTGATTTTGACAGAAGATCTTCTGCTCACCAAGGCTGCATTTATTTGATGAAAAATGCATTAAAAACAGTAATATTTTGAACAATTATTAAATTTTTCTTGGAATTTAATATATTCCTGTGAAGGCAAAGCTGGATGTTCAGCATCATTACTCCTGTCTTCAGTGTCACATAACCTTTTTATTTATTTATTTATTTAATGTTTTTATCCATAAACTGCTTTTCTCAGTATAGGCACAGCAAACACAACAGCAAAATAAAATGTTTTTCAAATGCAGCTGTGTTGATTTATCAAAGGTCAAAGGTTATATTCGTGCAATAGAGTCTTCTGTGTAATTCCGTGACAATATAGTTCTAAATATCCTGTGAAACGTATTCATCTATTCACAGTTTTTCCATTATCTATTCTTCACTAACTATGACAGCTATTCAGCAGTAAGCGGGATAGACAGACTTACCCACCTGACAGGTTTAGTTTGGAGGAGATTAAGATTGAATTGTGACACATATATTAAACTGTCTTGTCCTGATCTTGTAAGCTAAATTCCATTAAGCAGTTGATGTTTGCATTAGCTGCAGCGTTATATCTCACCAAGGCCTTGTTCTGGCGATTGTCAGTTTGAACTGGTTTGGTACGTGCCTGATGCTGCAGCCTCTGGGAGGTCCCCTTTTGAACCGTGTCCAGGCCTGTAGCCCAGATGAGATCTTTAGGAAGGGGTTGAGTTTTTGTGATATCCTGTGTGTGTTCACCATCTGATTACACACGGGGCCTAATTCCCCCTTTCGAGTGTGTGTTAATGACATCCAGGTTAAATAGACTTGCAAAGAGCTCAGCGGAAATAAAGTGGATGCTTTTCTGACTGATATTTTGATTAGAAAATGATTTCGCTTGCATCCACTGCTTCTGTTCGACTGGAATGAGTTGCTCCAGATCTCGGTGTCAAACTCCCCCACTCTCCCTCCCCTTCTCCCAGCATCCTCTTTTGCTGTGAAGCCCTCTGCCAACAGCCTGCGCCTCTTCTCTCTCTCTCATTAACCACAACTGTCAGATCCTCCAGATGATGAGCAATTAAACCAGATAATAAACGCTTGCCATCAATTCCTGTTTGTTTGTTGTTGTTGTTGTCGTTGGCGGCAGGGGCTCCTCTCATGCCACCTTAGTGCTAACTAGTACTTCTGTAATGCACCACCGGTAGCAGAACCGCTCTCTCAGAGCCTTCTGCCAACACTAACAAAGCTCTAACTGCTCATTGTAAGGCACCAGATTGATAATAAGGCACACTGAATGTTAACAATTAGATCATAATCAGAGCCAGCACGCCAAGGCTGCTCTTTTATCCCCTGCTTGAAAGAATGGCAAACAAAGCTCTGCAAACTGCTAAGATAAAATATTACCTCAGAATAATCATGTCTCTCAGCTACCAAAAGCCACGTAAGCTGTACAGCGGCGCACATACGACACGCTGGTAAAGACTCTTCTGTTTGCTCATGTATTAGAGCGATATGACGGTCTTGATGCGTTTTACTAGCCATCTCTTCCTGGAAAAGAGGTTAAAGGTGGACTGTGTGATTTCTGAGCCATTAGCATCAGCAAACTGAATTTTATATATACACCACCGTTCAAAAGTGTGGGTCAGTGAGATTTTATTTGAAAGAAATTATTACTTTTATTCAGCAAAGATACATAAAATAATAAAAATTGATAGCAAAGACATTTATAATTGTACAAAATATTTTCTGTGTCAAAATACTTTTATATTTCTATTCATCATAGATTCCTAAAAAAATTATTACTGTTTACACAAAAATATTAAACAGCCACTGTTTTTAACATGGCTGATAATAAGAAATGCTTCTTGAGCAGCAAATCAGCGTATTCGAATGATTTCTGAAGGATCGTGTGACACTGAAGACTATAA